TAAAGTTCGCTGTTGTGCGAACTTGACTCATTACTCTACTTGACTCATCGCTGTGTGACCGAGTTGGTTCCCTAGTTGACTGTTAAAACTCACTGCTGTGGGAACTTGCTAACGGTGCGTGACAGCCAACCGCAAACTCGATCCCTGCTGGTCGCTGAGGACCTCGGACGCGGGCGCGGCGAGTGACAGGCGCCGTTGCCCTTGGCTTCAGCGACAAGCGGGCGCCCCTCCCTGGGTTTCCTCACACCGCGACCTCCTACAATGTCTCCTCGGGCCTCAGCTGGACGGCAGGAGGCTGCGCCGGCTCCGAACGTGGCTCCTCTGTCGGTGCCAACCCGCTCTCGTGCGTCCCCTGCTGAACATCTACTCCCGTACTCGATACCTTTGCCGAAGCCGCCTCCCGCTGCGTGGTGTCGTGAACCTCTGCCGGAGGATCCGTGTGGGCAGCTGGCCCCACGTCAACGGACGCTGGTGTAAATGTCCCCAGCTGCCTCCGTCGGTCCTCGACCGCAAGACGGGCGAGCTCCTGCGTCCTGGGGTCCCTCTGTGCCATGAGGGCAGCTCGACGACTATCAAGCCTATCCAGCCTCTCCTCAGATGTCTCTCCAGGGGGTGTCCGGTCCTCATCCCCCTCTGCACCCAACATCACCTCTGCGCGCATGGCAGGGGAGAAACTACTCAGGTTCGCGAAGCTGATCTGTCCAGTAAGTCCTGCATACCCACACTGATGTCCCCACGGGACTCGCTCTCTCCTCGGGCCAGACCCACGCTCTCTCCCGGGGGCATACCCATGTCACCAAACTCACTGAAACCGCCTCTGCCGCCCATCGGTATCCCCTCAAACGCCGCAGCAACCTCGGCACCGCCTCCACCTCCGGCCAACGCACCACCATCTCCACCAACCAACCCCTGTCTATCTCCGTCGTCCCTCTGCACCGGTGAAGGACCGCCCTCTAATCTGTCCGCCAATCGCTGTCTCGGGCCCCTCACCAATCTCGTCAATCGATCTGCACCGGCTGGCTGTCGATGAAGCTCCTCCGTCAAAGTGGGAAGAGCGGTGGATGATGCCGTGCCAGAGCGACCCAGAGGACGATGGCCAATCCCCGACTCTGCCCCCCTCGAAGGTGCAGACTCAGGATCTCTCTCCCGCTCCGCGGGAAGCGGGCCAGTGGACGTAGGCCTCGGACGCTCTACAGGGCTCCCATGACGACCCCCAGACTCCTCCTCCAAATCAACTGGAACGAACAGGTCATCTCCGCCACTTCGTCTACGGACGTCCATTGGGTCGCTCCACTCATCACGCTCATCCGCCGCAGGAGTGGCGGTAGCGGGGCCCGCCGGCTCATCCTCGTGCTCGTCACCCTCGGAATCACTGTCGTCTCGAGGGTACGGGTGCAATGTGGCGGCTCGAGTCCCAAGAACATCGCCCACATCACCCGGAGGAGCTCTGGACCCACATGGGTCTCGCTGCATGAACGTCTCTGCTCCTCGAGCTCCTCCCGCGTCCTGCTCTCGTCCGTCCCCTTCCACGAGGGGCGAATCCCGATACCTCCCTCCATGTCCAACAATGACTCATCTAGAGTCCATGGCAGCGTGAGCCCGCGGCCTGCCCCCTGATGAGAGAGAAGGCGGACGTTGGCTGAGATCTCAACCAACTTCGCGACCTTCTCGAACTAAAGCCGGTTATGCTTCTTCGTCTGTACACCCTCGTGGACGACCCAATTCCTCTCCGCAGGAGAGGAGCACGTCCACATGTACATCGCACGAAGAGCGATAACCTGCAACTGGGGGGCGCACTGCCCGTACCTCGACCACCAACACCCGAACTCGTACGTCTCCGCATCGCCCGTGCACCTCTGTGCATCTCTGTCTCCGTCCCTCCCCCCCCAAGCAATCGTCCCCCTCCGTGTGTGGAAGTCGCGCAACTGTGCACATGCGGTCTCGTAGTCGCGGCTCGCCACACTGAACCCTGTTTGCGACAAGATGTAAGTCTCCGCCTCCCTCACCAAGCTCGCGTCGTAGTTGCTGACCACGCCCTCGAAGTACCGGAAGTCCCGGCGACTGGGACAGAGAAGGTGAGCAGCGGCGTGCGCCGGCTCCAACATGTGAGCGCATCGGGCCTGCACCCTCTGCACAATGTGGTGTGCAAGATCGACCGGAAGTGCACAAACCTCCTCTGCTACTAGGCGGGCCAGATCCTGTGTCCACTCAACAACCCGTGACATGTGCAGCCCTCCACGGTCCAACCTGCAGCAGGTCGTACACGGGCTCCATGACACGGAACAAGATGGCCATGGAATCCCACCGACTGCCATGCCGCACCTGCCACCTGACCCACCTAGCCAAGTGACGAACGGAATGGTCCCAAGGGACCATACCCCAAGTATCGCCATCCACCGTCCTCTCCAATGCTGACCTCACTGCCAGCAAACGCTCCACCATCGCGAACATGGATGCGAAACGTGTCTCGCAAGGATAAATGAGGCCCATCTGCCTGCTCTCCCCCCGAAAAATATGGAGAGTGGCGCCGTGCTCCTTAATGAAGCGCACCACTGCTCTCCCCCTCACGACGATGCCCTTGGACCACGCGCCCGAATAGCCAATGTCTGACAACATCTTGTTGCAGACGTGCACTGCGCATGGGAGCCACGTGATCCGACGATGCTCTGGCCTCTGCTCGGGCCCCTGGAGCATGTTCGCCGTGGCGACGTGCGCCGAGGCGGAGTCGGTGCAGATGGCGTTCACCCACTTTGGGGGAAAGTCATCAAACACCTTGATCCAACGCGCCAACACATCAGGCGCCCGATCCCGCTTACCCTCCCTGTTCATCGTCCGGACGAGCATCACCCCACGTGACCCGCCGGCAAGGAAGTTAACGATGGGTCTAGCATCGCGTGACTTCCTTCCGTCTGACATGATGGTGGCCCCCGTGACATAGAAAGGAGCCTTGACCTCCGCGAGATCAGCTCCCACATCGTCCGCCGTGTGGACAATGGTCTCTATGTCCGCGATCTCATTCTCTGAAGGCCACAACACCTTCACTGACCCCGGCAAATCCCCGAAGTGTCGGACGACGTCCAACCGCGGCTCGCTCCGGAAGACGTTGAACGCCAGGCGCTGACTGTGCACAAACCGCAACCACTTCTTCTTGAACTCCATCTGCCACTTTGAAGAGAATGACTCCGTGATCGTGTTCTGTCTCATCCTCTTCTGTGCTGCCGTTGGTCTGGCCCCCTCCTCTCTTTCCTTCCTCTTCCCCGCAAACGGACCCACCTCAGCCGTATCTGCACCTGCCCGTGTACGAACCGACACGTGTGCGATGCAAAGAACTGGCCCTGCTGCCCCCTCGGCTCGCTGACAACGCCCTTCCCTCGCTCCCTCCCTGACGACCCTGGCCGCGCAACCTCCTCGACGTCGTCGTGCACGTCGATCTGCCCCTCCGCGTCCCTCATCTCTCCCTCCCCCCCCTCGTCCCGTCGCGGATCCATCGCAGGCGCCGGACCGTGAAGCTCCTCAAACTGCTGGATCCGCTGTAGGAACTTGTCGGACATCTTGTACTCACTATTGTAGTGGATGTCGACAAGTGCCTCGTCGGTCACTTCCGGACATCCCTTGCCCTGGCGGAAATGGTGCGCTGCCACGAACTGGTTGCCCTGGAACTCGTGGCCGCAGAAAATGCACTTCAACATGCGATTGCCGCGGAATCTCTCGCCGAGACTCTGCCCCACGCGGAGGTACTTGTACATGCAGCATCTCTTTTGCGCCTTTAGATTCTCGTCCTCCCCCCCATCCTCAAACACTCTAGCCTGACTTCGCGGCATCGTGCCCACTCGCCGATGGGTGCACCAAAGCTCCAACACCCGACGACGAAGCTCCAACACACGGCGACCTCCCTCCCTCCCCGCACAAGGCCTCGCCAGCCCACAACCCAGTGGCCCCTGACGCGCCGCCCTCCCTCCCCGCACAATGCCTCGTCGGCCCACCACCCAGTGGCTACTGATGCGCCGCCCACGCACCCCGCACGTTCTCGAAACCCCCCACCGCCGCAGCGACAGGGTGCAGTCCGCTGAAACGAACGCCCACTGCCCGCGTTCAGTGAACGCGCACGCGCGTTCAAAAACAAAGAACGCGCGTTCAAATTTTAGTCCCGCTGCACGCCGCCGCCTTCTCCCGCGCCGCTCCCCGCCTTCGTCGTCGTCGATCGCTGCCGCGCCGCTCTGTCGAGGTCCGCGAACGCCCCCGCGCGTCCTGATCTCTCTCTCTCTGAGTCTCTCTCTCTCTCTCTCTCGCGATGTCTCTCTCTCTCTCTCACGCGATGTCTCTCTCTCTCTCGCGCGATGTCTCTCTCTCTCTCTCGCGATGTCTCTCTCTCTCTCTCTCTCTCTCTCTCTCTCTCTCTCTCTCTCTCTCTCTCTCTCTCTCTCTCTCTCTCTCTCTCTCTCTCTCTCTCT